TCAGAATTTTTCCCTTTCCTAACTTGTTCCTGAATATACTGAAACTTTGAAACTAAGAAGCAGAAAATAGTCAAATATATGCAACTAAAAGAACAAAAGGCATGACTGAGTCATAAGTTGGAATCCTTGCCATTGGCTCTACCTACTAAAAAGCTGTGTGATTCATCTCTCCCTCCCCACTGCAGGAATTTAGCTCCTCCTCACCTCTTTCCCTCCTTTGCAGAAGGGCACTCCTGGGCTTGCATATAGGGTATCTTTGTGCACCCTCCAAATAGCAAGGTCATAAAAAGGGGCCCTTTCCTCTGAGCTGATGTAGTCCACAGCCAGGAAAGCAGAGCTGGGGCTGTATTTCAGTCCCACTCACTATTTTAGCCAGCACCCCTGTCTAGCGCACAGACTGCACAACTGCACAGGGCCCCAGCGCACCCATTCTCTCCCCATCTGGTGCCCCCACCTGCCCCATCCACAACCTTGCCACCAACGTGATCTTCCTTAAACTCAGTTCTGATTGCATCTTGGCTTCAAAGTCTCCAGTGAGTACCCAGGCCTCACAGAGCTCCAACTGCCACACCCAGCACCCTTTATAAGGTGAAACCTGCCTCTCTTCTCAGCTTTTCCTGCCACCTTTGCTCATAATTCCCCAAATTCCGCCAAATGGAGCTACGAAGCCTGGACACGCCACACTCTTTACTCCTGCGGCTTTGCACATATTATTCCTTTAGACCAGAAAGCTTTTCATTTATGCCTTTCCCCCTTGTTTGTTTGGTCCATTTTTATTCATTTAAAAAAATAATTTCATGTGAAAGCAATATGAACATATTTTAAAACATGGAAAATACAAAGAATTATGGAAAACATTTCCATTAAATATTTTCTCAAGGTATTTTCTGTGCATGTGTATTTATGGATTGTATCTTAAAATAGTTTGTATCATGCTTTTTTTGCCTAGTATTACTCTGTAAGCTTTCTTAATCAACTTTTATAAATGATTTGAAAACATCTTTTAATGGCTGCATAATTTTCATATATATATATATTTATACTCTGAAGAGTTTGTTTAATCCTTGTTTTGGTCATTTAGATGTTTTCCTTTTCCTTTTTTTTTTTTTTTTGGCTATTATATATAATGTTACAAAGAAGAGTTTTGCACATAACCGTGACAGCCCCTCTGATGGTTTTCTGGGAGTGAATTCTGGAACAGTAGAAAAGAACACTTTTAGGCTCTTGTTATGTACCATCAGGTTGCTATCAAGAAAAGGTGGACAAATTTACAAACTCACCAGGGGAACATGAATGTTCCTCTTACTTAATAACAGCCTCTCTGTTGAGAGTCATAATTTTTTTGTTTGGTCCTTGATAACTTTATTTTAATTTTCCCTTTCTCTAATTAGGCAGGGGATTTTTCTACATTTATTAACCATATATGTTTCCTGTAAACCATCTCCTTGTGTCCTTTATCCAGTTTTCAACTGGAGTCAAAATTCCTACTCATTTTCAATACTTATTTAAGCATCTGACTGTGCAGTGCTGACAGCCCCACAGATCACCCCTAATCCAGGCTTCCTCTTCTAACAAGACTGCGTGTGCACGTTAACTACTGGGATTTCTATTCTCTACTATAACTGCTTATGTGCCTGTCTCCCCCACTGGACAATGAGCAGCTGATGGGCCAGCACTGAGTCTTATGTATTCTTTTCCTCAGTACCTAAGGCACTAGGTATGTGTCAATTAAGACTTATTTAATGAACTTATGAATAAGTCAATGAAGATCACCGAAGAGTTGACTTTTAACTTAACATGGATTTCATCAGGATAGCATGTCTACGTTTTGTATTAAACAGAAAGGATCACTAAGTCCTTGGATAAACCTATGCACACTTTTTAAGGTAATATAAATGCTAATCAAACAGCCTATGACAATCCGCACTATTAAACTGTTAGAGAATAAAATACCGCTGGAAACTGTTTATTCAAAAAAGAAAACTAAACACTTTTTTTTAAAGAAAAGTAATTTTTTCTACAAAATATTATAGTTATGTTTATTGATCCAATTACCTTGACAATTATCATACCACATCTTCCAAAAAGAAAGCACAAAAAAGATGCACTTCCTCTGACAATAAAACATATATGTACTTACACATTAAATATACAAACGAAAGTTAAACTTTCAAAATGACTGCATTTTTTCATCACATCATACTCTCAACTTATAATTCACATATTTCTAATTTGGCCATTTCACAGTGTTGCTATAGAAAAATACCCCACACATATGTATCCAGATTAATACCATCACTAAAACAAACCAGAGGTGAAAAATGGGGTTGCTGCTAAGCTGGAAATAAGGCAAATACTCTTGTCTTTGGAACAGATAGCTGAATGGGAATCTCGGGTCTATTAAAATGTAGTCGGCTCTCCATTTCAGAGTCTGTGTGTGTTGGGGTACAAAAGGACTCTGAGGTGCTGAAACCCTGCTCATGTCCCCCATCTGTTCCTTTATCTAAAGTGAGTTTTCACCTGTGAGCTGTGTTTAGAGTCTCCTGTTCAGTTTAATAACTGCAGCTGTATTTTCCCCACTTTTCCCTTTTGGTCCTAGTGTTGCTAACCTTTGTAAACATTCAAATGAACAATTAAAGTGCTCAGTTGTGCTCCATCTGAGCCCATCCTGCTCTATTTTGGAAAGTATATAGCTCTCAGGAACCTCACTAAGATCTTACTTCCTCCACAAAGAGCAGAAAATGGTTGTTAATAGGTAGATGTTAATTAAGGTCATTGCCACCACCCTCAGCTGAGGTTGAGGGAGACCTGGGTGGGCTTTTTGATGTGCGAATGCCCTGCTGCTTCACACAACCACAGGTAGTAAACAGGGCTCTCTGGTAAGTCACACATCACTGTTTCTCAAAGAAGCATAAATCCCTCCCCCAGAGAAGTCATTCACATGATAAGCTTATGAAACCGAGGTGCCAAAATTGAAACAATATTTTGTAGCCCACTCCAAAATTTTGATTCCTACTGACATTCCTGCTTCAATATACAAGGAACTGGACTTTAAATGATAAAAATCATTTTTTCTTCTCTGGGTCGTGGGCAGTCACATCTTGCCTTGTGTCTACTTATTTATAGCTTTGCCTCTCCACGTGAGGCAGTGAGCACCTTCCAGGAGGTGGCTGCACAAGGCCCCTCCGAACTCCTGATTTGTCTACATTTCCCACCTCACTTCTCTGAGGAGTGTCTATAATTCAGGCATACTTACACCAGTTGGCAAAGAAAAGAATTAGACGGGTAATTGTGATACAAAATAAATGAATCCGGTTTCACTAGAAATGAATCAGGTAAGAATTTTAAAAACACCCATCACATAACTGTAGACAGCAGTGTTTCTATTGGGTTTAAATAAAGACCTGGAAGTCTCAAGACCTTTCTAAAAAATTAGGGACACCAAGTACAAATGTCATAACAATATCATCTCTTTAAGACTTATAACATTGTTTACAATATATGAAATTTTAGTCACTGTTAATGACCTGAAATGAAAAAAATCTACTGAACTGGTTCATGAATCTAGAGTGACAATACATTGTTCAGATATCAAATACTTTTGAAAATACCTTTAGATGTTTTGTTATGGGAGATAACTTTTAAGGATTTAGTTGTAAGAGTTTTTGTTTTTTTTTTGTCGTGGTTCTTTGATGGCAAGTGTGATACATGCCTCAGCTTACCAGAGAGTGTAAAACATTGTCATAGGCTGGATTCCATGTTAGTTCGGTAGGAATTGCTGTGACAATTTCTATACCTAAGAGGCCTTATGAAAATCTTGTGAAAAAACATCCGAAATACTGATGTTCTGAAAATGATGAAAATCCAGGGGTCCACAATTGAGATCACAGATAGAAAACGCAAGGCACAGAGGTCTTCGGCTTCGGAAGTTTCATTTTTCTTGTCAACATCTATAAATGCTCCATAGTAAGCACGATACTGTTTTAAAGAAAAACATTACATTATAATATCGAAAGGTTGATGGCAGCAATATATTCAACTAACTTCACTTAGGACACATTATTTTTAAGAACATTGCAGCTCGGCTTGGAATATTCAGTTTTGGAAAATGTATAAGCAGCTAAGGCCGCTGCAGCTGATGGGTGCAAACAAGGAACCTGGAATGTACAGGGCCAACCTGGGAGGCTCAGTGGAGGTGAGAGACCTCATCCAAGTCCCCGGAGGCTGTTCTATCTGCCGTGAGCACTGGAATTTCCAGGTTCCTGCTAGGCCATGCAGAAGAAGAGCTGAGGTGGGACAAATCCAGTCACCAAATCTTTTACAAACAGGGTCACCACATCACCACACTTCCATAAATACAAAGATTCTTTTCCATATTCTCTTCAGTTCTTACTTTCTTCTGCCTGTTTCCTATCCTCTCTTATTAGTTAGCTCAGAAATTAGTGACACTTGTGAAATGTCACAGGTAAAGAGACATCATTAAACAGAAGTTTTTAGTTGATGTGAAGAGACAGGAAATACTCCAGTGAAAAGACAAACTTGCAAAAGGACCGGTTCAACGCATGTAAATTACTTACTCTTAGCATCTTAGCATAGATGGTTACCTTTCTGTGGTCAACATCCTCTTTTCAGACTAGGAAAAAAAAAAAACCCATGCATAGAAATATAAGCCTGCTTACCTGTGCCCAGTCACTCCTCTTATCCTGATCCTCCCTGAGGAGGCCCTGCAAACTGTCTTATCCCGTGGCTTTTCCTGCCATTCAGCCAACACTGCTGCCTGGACAAGCACCACTACTGCCTCCCACTCCCTTGGAGGCCAGCCACTTCTTCTTGATGCTATTATACTCCTTGTGCCGACTGAGATTCTAAATCCATAATGGGACAAAATGGACTCTAATGGGACAGAATATGCAAACTCAACATTTTGGGGAGGGGGGAATATGAATAAGTGAACACACCAGACCCATTTAGGGCAATCAAGGGATATCTGCTGGAGGAGATGTGTTTTCCCCTAATTGTTTCCTTATCTTGTCACTCTCTTTTCTGCAGAGCACTTCAGTGGGCTCAGCTACTCCCATCTAGTGCTCTTAGGAAGATATACTTCTACCATATCTGGAAGCTCTTTCCTATCATCATTGCTTAATAATACTAATAGTACTGATAATGGCTAATGCCCATGTTCCCAGGCACTTTGACAACTTCATTTCATCCTCACAAAAATCTTATTAAGGGAGTATGATCATTATCTCCATTTTACAGATGTGGAAACTGATTGCATGCCCAAATCCTACCTCTTTACAAGGTCGACCTCAAATATTACCCCTTAAGCATATCGGCTTTAGAGTCTGACTATCTGGGTTAGATAGAATCTCCTCAATAGCTGTGTGACTTCAGGCAAGTTATTCCACTTCCTCATCTATAGAATTGTACCTACTTTCCAGGATTGTTACGAAATTTGAATAAGATGTTATGAGTAAAACCTTGACAAAAGGTCCTAGCATATAAAAGAAACCAATAATTAAATATTATTTTGTCAATTAGGAGTGACTCCTTTCCTTCTCTAAACTCCCTTATGGCCCTAATCACTCCCTCCCAACCCTGGTATTACAGCAGATGTGAGGTTTTTCTCATTTTATATCCCCACAATGAATGACAGTGTCTTGAATGTTGTAGGTAATGAATATGTGCTGAATGGGTAGATGATGACAATAGCTATGCACTTAAGTTGATTTAAAAAGCAAATGCTTTATGTAAGTTTGTCTTTAGATTTGCTCCTTTCTCCTCCAAGTGCAGTACAACAAAATATAATTCCATATATTTGAGAATATTTGATTAGTTGGGATCTTGGTAACTGAATGGTACTTATATAATTAAAACAAACCTTTTATTTCTAGACAGTATTTATCCAAGTCAATTCTATTGCATATTATTAAGTTATTTGTATTTTCAAGTCACTTGGTTTGTATTAGAAGTGTATGGCTCTATACCTGGCCTTTCAATTTAATGTAATTTATATTTATTTTTTGAGCTTACTAAAAATACAACACAAATTAATTTATGACAGTGAACTGAAGTATATAGTCTATTAATTCTCACAAAATATCAATTTGAACACAATTTAGACTTTTTAAAAAACCTGTCAATCAATAATATTCTCTAGGACATACTTCATAAACTGCTCCTATAAGAGATGGCTAAAATGACCAACCTCATAATACACCTGGCATTTTTTAAGTAGCTCCATTTACACAAAGAAATTCCGTGTGAGAAGAGCGCCCTCTGTTGGATTTAGGAGTCCATGAGGAACTGCTGTTGCCGACTAGCTGGAGACTGATCTTGCTGGGATATTTCTGTTCCGGGGAGCTCTCTGGATTCTAATGCCATCTTCTATCCAGTCCATCCATCACAGCACCCGACATTGTCCCCTGCTCGAGCCTTTTAAATCCACTTCCAATTCTTTTCCCTGGGCCCGTCTCCTGCCTACCATTCCTTACATGCTTCTAACAGTCTCCTTTGGCAGGAGCATCCCACCCATTCTTTCTTTCTGCAGCAAAATGAAACACACACACACACACACACACACACACACACACACACACACACCTTATCACTACATGTAGAATGTCCTCTATCACTTCTCTGACTCCATAGATTTTGGTAAATGCAATTCCACAAGCTCATACTTATCTTTATCTGGCTTCTAGACTTCTCAACCAACACATTTAATTTATACATGAACGCCCTGCCCTCTCTCGTCCATCCTTGTTCCCCTACCAACAACCCCCAATGCAACTGTGGCGTCCTAAGGTAAGACTAATTTTGACGAAAATATGTTAGAGAATTTGCTTCATTAGAGAATATGCTTCAAACTGCCTCTGAAGCTCATCCCATATTCTCTATACTTTCTTCCTACTGTATCAAATTGGAAATTTGAAAACTTAATCTAGTTAAGTATCTTGCTCTAATTCAGCATTACAGCAGAGTTAATTTAAAAAAAATTATACTGCAACAAACTTTTCACTGGCTTAATGAAATACAATATTTATACTATGAGTAAGGATTTTTTTTTCAAATCTTTCCCTTTTCACATACTGCCTTATTTTCTCCAGTCACTAGGTCCATTCCCTAAAAAAGTGATTTTCAAAGTGTGGGAGTCTCCAATACCCTTTCAGTACGTCTGTATGGTCAAAACTACATTCATTAAAAAGGACGTTGTTTGCTTTTTTCACTTTCATCTTCTCATAGGTGAACAGTTTTACAGAGGCTATGTGACATGTGATAACACCAGCACTCCCATGGCTAATTGAATATGTGTTTGTGTATTCTTGTGTTTTCTAGACCTTTCTAAGGTAGTAGGTTCAAGAAATACATACGAATGTGCATTTTCACAGTCCGTTCTCAGTATTTCTGAGCTCTTAATATGCTTTTTTCTTCTGTTTTATCTGCTATAATTTCTATAACTTTATTATCATTCATTTTATCATTTTGAAATCCAAAAGTTTCCCTTGCACCTTTGCAAAAACACAAGAAGTACATTTTGTTAATTTGTTTTGCAATAATATTTTTAAATTTTTCTATTTTTAATTTCTAATATGATAAATACTGATGCATATAATGCACATAATAAAGCTCTTTAGGTCCTTAATTATTTTTAAGAGTAAAAAGGGGTCCTTTAAGTAAAACAAGTTTGAGAACCACTGCCTTAGAATATAATGCTATCTCCTGAGAAGGCCATATTTCTAAATTAATTTTCTATGTCCAGTAGGCAATAATAATAATTGGAAATAATAATTAGTGATAATAGTGACACTAATTTTTTTAGGCCACCTGGTTAGGTGCCATATATATATATATATATATATATGGCTTCAAATCTTCATAGCTATAGAAGAAGTATGGTTACCCTCATTTGAAGATGAGAAAACTGTGGTTAGAAAGGGTAAATAAGCCACCACCATCATTATTAATAAGTGATGCAGCCTGATTCAGATTCTTGTCTGATGCTGAGGTCCTTATCCTTTCTAAAAAATGATTGTTCCTATAAGAATGCTGTCTGCATTGCATATCTTTGGAACTTACAAGTTTTTAGGGAATCACTTTCAAACCCATTATTTCCTTCAATTTTCGCAATCCCATATGAGTTATTTAAATCCCCTTAGAGATGTGTCCAAATGCAATGTTCTTTCTACCATATTATGCTGCTTTTTGATTATTCTTACTAAAAGCATTCAAACTCAGGACATGATATCCATGCAGTTGGCTATTGTCTGCTTCTGTCACAGCACAGGAAAAGAAGGCTGTTACTTCAGAGCAGGGACTGCAGACATTTTCTGTGAAGGGCCAAACAGTAAATATTTTAGGTTTTATGGGCTAAGAGGCAAATAGTGAATATTTGGTAGGTACTTATATGATGAGAGAAAACACATTTTCACAAGTTACACTGATGAAATTCAAAACATAATCATAATCATAATTAGCTACAAATTTTGTAATACATGTCTACTAAGAAGAAAAATAAAAGTGTATTTGTGTGTGTGTGTGTGTGTGTGTGTGTGAAGTAATATTTGACTGCATTTGCGTTCTGAGTTTGTGTGTCTTGTCATCAAATTGATTGCAAATTACATTTGAGAAAACTATTAACTCCAGAGCTGTACAAAAACAGCAGGCAGGATGGCTGTGGCCTGTGGGCTGTGGTTCGCCAATTCCTGCTTTAGAGTGTGCTTCTCCAAATGTTACCCCCAGATCTGCTAGCAGTGTCCACCTCACCTGGTAACTTGTTAAGAATGAGAATTCTTCAAAAACGTCTAAATCAGAAACTCTGGGAATGGGGCCCAGTCATCTGTGTTTTTAAAAGTCCTGCTGATAATTCTGAGCATGGTAAAGTTTGAGAACCACTGCTAAATATCTAAACCTATATCCATATCTATTTTTTTAGATACAGATTGATTGATTGATTTCTTTCTTTATTTTGGGGAGTTCTGATCCTAACTCTGTATAATGATGCCACTACAGACCATGCATCCTCCCTCCCACATTAAGGCCTTCATATAAAGGAAAATCTCATTGTATTTCACCTTCATCCACCCTTGAAAGGGACATCCAAAATTGCTATGTTGCCATAAAAGACTTGACTTTCCTATTCACAGAAGTCTCAGAACTCCAAAGACATTGAAATGCCAATGTATTGATAAAATGTTGTTCATGTTGAACAACTACATTAATGGGGGGGGGCGGGGGGGGGAGAGGGAGAAGAGTAATGCTGAAAATGTTTTCTCAAACCTCAGCCACACTTGTAGGTGTCTTGGCGGGGATCCCAAGAAGAAATACCTTCAAAACCATGAGGTAAGTTGAAACCCCAAGATAATGGCTTTCATGTCACCTTGCTTGCCAAGATCGAAACAAAACCAACCTGTCAAAACAAGTTATCAAAACGACACCAGTGGCTGAAAGGTACTTTCACATCTGCCTGTCTAAACAGCCTCTCTGCCTTTATCACCTCTAACGTCTGCGGTTGTAGCACCAGAAATAGCATCCAGACGCCTCAAAGTTTACGAGTTTTTAAAAGCCAAACCTATGCTTTTAGTCACTTACCTCTGCAAAAGACTCTGGTAGGATTACATCTTCCCGCATCCCCTTTGCACACCAGCACCTGGGAGAACTCCCAGATGCCATCTGCCCATTTCTGACGCCACTAAAATCACGGGCAGCTATCACGAAATAAAACATTAACTAGCCATCGGGAAGTAGGAAAGGACTCATATTGCCACGGAGGAACCAAGTCCTGCTCCTCAGCGCTCCGAGGCGCAAAAATAACAATCTTCCCAGAGGGAAGCAGAGAGGAGGGGGTTCTGCCAACTGGAGGCGTTTCGCGGAGCTTAGGAGACACCATCGAACCCTGTCTTTCCCTTCCTTTCTCTGACTTCCCTCTTCCCTCTCAACATACTGGGTTATATTTCTTGGAGCTGTGGAAGGAAAACTGGATCTGGGGAGCGCAGCAACAAACCCTCCAGGCCCAGGGCGCAGCTTCTCTGGCGCCCCGTCCAACACGCCCCACCCCTCCCGCTGGGCGCCCGCCGCCCGACGAGCTCCAGTCCCCCGCAGCTTGGCGAGGAGCGACTCACAATTAAAGGCAGGGAGCACACGGTGAAGAGCACTGTCATGAAGGCCAGCAGCAGGAGATGATCTAGCTCCTCCAGAGGCTGCGGGGACGCCTCTCTCTCGCCGGCTCTGGGCTCCGCGCGCTCCTTGATGCCGGAACGCGGGAGCCGCTGCAGCCGCCGGTGCATCGCGTAGAGGTTGCGCATGGCGCTCAGGTTGCATAGCACGATGGCTAGGACCAGCAGCGCCATGAGGCTGGCGTAGAGCACCGAGTAGCCCAGCACCGACAGCGAGCGCTCCTCATGGACCATCTGGATAAAGCACCAAGTGCCGGGGCAGTACTGCACAAACTTCCCGAAGCCCGCGAAGGGCAGCGCGCAGAAAGCCAGGCAGAAAGTTCCCACGACGGGCGCCACCAGCACGCCCCGGCGCAGGGTGATGTGCTGTCGGTAGAAGAAGGGGTGCCCCAAGGATAGCCAGCACTCCAGGGCCATGGCCAGGAGCTGCAGCGTCGAGGCGAGCCCGAAGAAGGACATGATGAAGGCGAAGGCGTCGCACAGCGACCTGTCAGGCGGGGGAACCAGCCCCCACAAGCTCCTGTTCTGCGCGTAGGCCGCCAGCACGAAGGGGCTCACCAGGGACTTACCCAGCAAGTCGGTGACAGTCAGCCCGCACACCAGCACGTAGAAGACCGAAGGCGGCGGGCGCGGTGAGCGCAGCGAACACGACCCAAGCCCCGAGCGCGCCAGTAGCCCCAGAGCCAGCAGGTTGCCCAGGAGGCCCGCACTGAAGAGCACCCAGCCCATTGTCGCCGAGTTGCCCTTCTCCACCGAGGTGGTGTTTTGGCAGCGGTAGAACGACTGCATGATGGTGGGCTGCGGGAGGGCCAGGGCCCCGGCGTCCGGGTGCGTAGAGCCCCGCCGCTCCATGCGCGCCTCGGGAGGAGAGGCTGCGCCGCTGAGGAAGCTCCGCGGGCCGCCGGGTGTGCCAGACAGCAGGCACCTCTTATCTAAACTCTCAGGTCACACCCCTCCTCGAAGGGCGGGACGTGCAGCTCGCTGCGCACCCGACGCTGGCTCTGCGGAGCGCGGAGCAGCCAAGCGAAGAGCTCGGCACCAAAGCTCCGGGTCCTAAGGAGAGACAGACCCTCGTGCCCAGAGTCGGATAGAAAGAAGGAAAGTAGCCAGAGTCCGAGCATCCCTGATCAGTCCTTCCTGCGAGGCAAGAGAACTACTGAAGTGGAGGGGAAATTAAGCAGGAGCTTACTAGTAAGGGAGGATGCGGGTGCAAGGAAGTGGTGGTGGAACTCTGGGGGCGGCTGAAGAACGCTGAAGATAAAGGCAGTGAGGAGGCTGAGAAAGGCTTAGCACCTAGTTTTTGAATTAGTGCGTTAAGGAGGGTATCAAGGGAACTGACATTTGCACAACACTTAATTAAGCCTTAGCGCAAACTCTCCTCTGGATCCGTGCACCCATGAAAAATGACCTTCATTGCGGAGGTAAGGATACAGACCTTGGAAGATTAAATGATCTGCCCAAGGTGACAAAGCTAGTAAGTGGCAAAGCTGGACCTGAAACCCAGATCTTATATTTATAGAGTCTTGGCTTCTCCTCCCAAAAGGTTGGCCAGATTTCAGGGAAGTGGCTGCAGGGAAAACCAAGGGAGATGTTGGCCCTGAGTATGTGAATCACTGGTTGTGTAGATCCGGTGGGAGGAGTATGGAAAAGAGCACTGATGCTGTCATCAGTGGTTTCAAGTCCTAGTTCTGCTACTGACTGCCTGTGTGATCCTGAGGGACTTGCTTAACCTCTCAAGAAGTAACATCTAGCCAACCTGACTGGCTCTTTCGAGGCATAGGAATAACATCTAAAGTGCAGACACGTAAGAAGTGCTCAGTACAATGCAATTGTCAGGATTCTCATCTGTTTTAGGGCAGCCGTTTTCGTAGCTGATGTTTAACTGCAGTTTTTAGAGTAAATTTTGAAACCATAAAATAGTAGACTCGATTTAGAGCATTCTCACTCTGGTTTGTGACTCCTAGAATACATTTCTTCCCTTCTGACCTTTGAGTTGGCTGTGTCACAGAGGCAAGGGAGTTCGTTGTGACAAATCTGATTTATTTTTGTAATTGTCACTTGATACCCTGGGATAGAAACCAGCTTTGTATGTGGAATTTGAGTGGGATGACTGGGGTCATAGTATGTGAGCGAGTAGATTATGCCTTGGCTTGAAGAAGCTCATTTCTAGGCTGAGTACCTGTTCTGATGGACAGACCCAGGGAGAGAGCAAGACCCTTGAGCTTTGAATGTGAAAGCCTTAAAGGTAGTCAGAGAACCTGCCTCCAGACTTAAAGCCTGGCCAGTAATTCTGGCCACCAGGTGGAGACAAAGAGACCAAGCTTCGGAATGAGATAGTTCTGAACTCTATCACTAGCTGTGTGACCTGCAATCTCTCTGAGTTTGTTTCTTCATAAATAGGATATGGGACTTATGCTGACCTCACAGTATTGTAAAGTTGAGAAAGCATAAAGTGTCATAGAATAATAATAATAATAATAATAATAATAATAATAATAATAGAAGCGAACATTTATAGGCCCTTATATATGCTGGCCACTTTCTAAGCCATTCACATCTATTCACTCAATTAGAAGGCCTTCCACACAGCTGGTTCCCTTGTCTTCCACCTCCCTCTCATCCCTGCCTCCAGCCCCTAATGAATAATGATGGGTTTGGAAGAGCCCACTTGAATTAATGAAGTGAAAAAAACAAAAGGCTCTACAATCAAAAGACACAAATATCTGATAAAATCTGAGATCTCTACACACATACACACACACACACACGCACACACACACACACACACAATTTATATCAACTACAGGATGTTCACAGTTTCCTGAAGTCCCACCATGGTGCCCAGAAAAGGCCCAGGAGACTAGCTTAAGAATCTTCCTCTAAGGCAGTGGTTCTCAACCTTCCTAATGTCGTGACCCCTTAATACAGTTCCTCATGTTGTGGTGACCCCAACCATAAAATTATTTTCGTTGCTACTCTATAACTGTAATTTTGCTACTGTTATGAATCGTAATGTAAATATCTTTTTGTTTT